GCTAAAAATTACAGTCAAAGTTTCCAGGTTTCTGCTGTTTCGCCAGGAGGAAATATTTGGAGAATTTGGTCCACCTAGCTGTTTGTTTAATTGTTTTACCCAACTGTGCTGCGCAATTATTGACGCATTTAATGCAGACATGATTTGTTCATGACCTTTAATATGATAATCATGCATTAGTCTGCGTAACATGAAACTGTTAATTCCTAAAGGTTGGTTTCCATATGGTGATATGGTGGCAAAGTAGAGTCACGATCTTTCTCCGCGGCCAGTTTCTCCGCCACCTTATTTATTCAGTCGAAAATCCTAAACTAAAATACTGTAACTGTTTTTACTGTATATAGCTCTGTCGTCAGTTCTCAAACTGTTTCTATTCCTAGAGGTACAGTTTAAGGTAATCGTATTTGGTCTGGTGTTACGTACACGAGGCAACAGGGTTATATATATATGCATGTCTGCAGATTGTACTATATATATATATATATATATATATATATATATATATATATATATATATATATATATATATATATATATTTGTGGTAATCGTATTTGGTCTGGTGTTACGTACACGAGCCAACAGGGTTATATATACATGCATGTCTGCAGATTGTACTATATATATATATATATATATATATATATATATATATATATATATATATATATATATATATATATATATATATATATATATATATATATATGTGAAGTTAAGATTGTTGCTCAAGCTTGTATTCAGAAAATATCTGAACTCCCAACGGGAATCGAACCCGTGTCTCCCGATTGCCGGTTCGGTTGCTTTACCACTAGACTATAGGGTTTCAGACAGCAATGCGATGTTAACTAGAGACCTGGTTCCTACCGTTTATATGCGTCCTTTGTACTTAAAGGCTCGTCATACGCCGAACCGGCAATCGGGAGACACGGGTTCGATTCCCGTTGGGAGTTCAGATATTTTCTGAATACAAGCTTGAGCAACAATCTTAACTTCACATATATCCAAGCTTACAACATGTACTAGTCTTAGTATATGAATATATATATATATAATATATATATATATATATATATATATATATATATATATATATATATATATATATATATATATATATATATATATATATATATATATATATATTAAACTCCTCCAAGAACACCTGCAATTATGTTTTGTTGAGTGAAACTGAAGGTACAACGCCAAGAGGGTATTTCACTACAGTTTCATGTGAGAGAACTTTAAAGTGAGGGTGAGAAAGGCTAATTAACCTTGACCGCTCATATGCATGCATAATCTGGTGATTACTAGTCTAGTAGCTTCGTTTCCTGCGTGTACCCGATGCGTTAGGGCGAAAAAAGTACCATTCTCAATTACAACAAAAATGCGGTAATTGTAATAATTAAGGGGGCAAATTTTGATCACAAGGTTTAAAAAATTATGTTATTTCGTGGTTATAAAAGGGCGAAGCCTGTTAGTTTGAAAGTCAGTTGGAGTGCTGACCTGGACATAGCCAAAGACATATTCTCAAGTCATTCCTGTTTACAAGTATGGGTAGGTGTACATTTAACTTATTTTAAAAATCTTTTTCATGTATTTTCCTGATCTTCACAATATCTACCAGGTTATATTAGGATAAGTTGGTTTTTAAGAAGAAACGAATTTTATTTTCAGATGAATTTTCTCTTCGAAAGTATAGTAATTTTTTGTGGTAGTTTGTATTTTTTCAAATTCCTGCACAAAATTTAGTTCGATTATTGAATTGTGTTTGAATAGGGTTTTTGACTAAAACGTTTATAGTACTTTAATGTCGAAATTAATGAGTTTGTAAATTTGTAATTGCAATAAATCGCTGTAAGCTTGTAACCAAAGCTGGCAAAGCACCAACTGAGAATGTTCGTTTTGCATAACAGATATTACTACGTATAGATACATGCAGCCCTACAAGTCAATCGGGTATGTATGTCAAGTCTCACATTACGTCATGTTGTATGCAACAACAAAGTACACTTAAACTGTATATTTATGTGCCTGTCTCAAATGACAAATAAGGACGTCATAATATAATGATAATTAAATTAATCTTCCTCGATCTTCTTGCTAAGGCAATTAGTGTTCCCCGAGTTTGATTAACTGTCGGATGTCCCGGGTAGAAAGTCAAGGGTTGTAAAAAGCTGCAAACCGTGTATTTTATATTGAGTCGCGCGGGGAGAGAGTTTTATTGAGAGAGAGTAGAGAGAGTTTTATTGAGGATCTTGTTCTCTTTATTAAGTCCCCCTCCCGGGGAGACTTTATAACGAAAACACTACGGTACATTAGACAAAAAATTATCCAAACAATACCCATTGCGTATATCACAGATATCTTATAATTATACACTATAGATAGCGCATCTCTTTTAGTAAAATTGAAGCCAAGAATATTCCAGCGGTTACCCCCATTTGAATAGATGGTGGCCATGTTGGTCGTTCCCACTTGTTAATAAACGCTTAAAAACAACAATAACTTTCATCATTTGAATAGTTTAAAAACGTATTTGGAATAGGGTTAATTTAATGTGTAAGTTCCCTGTTTAAGGGATAGAAAACATACGAATCTTCTCATTTCATGGGAACGACCTGAGATGAGAGGCAATTCACATAATTTTGTAACGAACACATCTTGTTTCTTTCTTTCAGAACACATTTTTTATTTATAGACGATTTTTGTCATGCTATAATTGTTGGTTTAACATATTAAATTATACTTTCAGGTTTTAGGTTTCTGGCACGTTTATATAGAACCATAGTAAATTATGACAAAAAGTTCTTGAGCAATGTTTCGTATTGAAGCGATCCTATATAAAGTTGTTTACTAAGGGGCCGATTTACATGGAGCATTTTCAACACCAGGGTTGAACTCAGCCCTGTTTACCGGGTTGAAATTTCATCCCTGTCTGTAAATACAAAACTCTATCAAAATCAAACGCGCGATTATATGACATGACCTGCTTCAGCTAGCCGGGTTGAAATTTCAACCCCGGGGTTGAACTCAGCCCTGGGTTGAAAATTTTGTCATGTAATCGTTTCAACCCAGAGCTGAAATTATCATTACTTATTCGAGCATGCGTGGTAGTGACTATTTATTACACGATTTTTTTTTTTTACTTTCATGCAGGAATCGATGCCGAGAACGTATAGTAATAGCGTTTCAACCCCGGTGTTGAAATCGTCCGTGAAATCGCAAAACAATTCAAGCCGGTTAACAGGGCTGAGTTCAACCCCGGGGTTGAAAGTTGTCCATGTAATCGGCCCCTAAATGATAACGTGATTTTTGCACTCTTTATTCAACCCGCGCGACTCAGTAAAATACACGGTTTTATGGAGCTTTTTTATACAACCCCGCTACTTTTTTTACCGGCTACATGCGGTCAAGTCGGTTAGAGTATGTGATAGTTCGGAAAGGAGTCTATAATTCCTTCGATACTGTATCAGTGTAATCTGATAATCATGATATTTAGTATATTTGCTCTGTCGGTGTAGTGAACTCAGGAGAATGAGAATGCTTGTGATGTTACTCTGATTGTACATCCACGTACCGGGCAGGCTTGAAAAATATGCCTGGTCACGGTGAGAATCGAACCTACGACCTTTGGAATACTAGCCCAATGCTCTGCCAACTGAGCTACGCGGTCAGGTCGGTTGGAGTATGTGATATTTCTGAACTGAGTCTAGTTCCTTCGATATCAGTGTAATCTAATAATATTGTTGGGCTAGGTAGTCCAAAGGTCGTAGGTTCGATTGCCAGGCATATTTTTCAAGCCTGAACGGTGTGGATATACACTCTGCAGAGTAACATCACAAGCATCTCATTCACCTGATCACACTACACCAACACACAGCAAATATCTTGATTATTAGATTAAACTGATATCGAAGGAACTAGACTCATTTCCGAAATATCACAAACTCGAACCGAGCTGACCGCGTTAATCTAACAACATTAGATTACTTCAATACAGGGTGTATATAAAAAAACGCAACCTCGGAATTTCCCAAGAAATCGACATTGTTTTAAAGACAAAAGATTTTAGCTGCCTGGGAATTTAAAATAGCACAACTGTGAAAATTACTGCACGCGCTAGTGCATAAAGCAAAATTTATGCATTTATTTAATGACACTTAATAAGTTTTTATTTTACAAGTACTGTACAGTACAACAACAGTAATATGATCTATTAGCAATTCGATTTCAATTCGCGGGGGCCTAAAATCTTTTATGCTTAAGAATTGCAAAGTAGATTTCTTAGGAAACTCCAAGGTTGCGTTTCACTTCCGAGTAACGGGCGGAGGTATGCAGTCTCTGAGTGCCCTCTAGTTTATATTGTATTTATTATTTGCAAAATCTTTATTATAAGATGGCTTTTTGGTAACCGATATAAGATGTTTAATTTATTTCCATTTGGTTTTGGATTTAGAAAAATAGTTGTTAATTTTAGATTTAATGTAGCTATAATTTATAAAGTTTAAATTTTAGCAAGAGAAATTCTAACAATCTTTGTAATCCAAAGCCTATAGCTAATATCCGGATTTCTTTCTTTGCCTATTCAGAGGTGCGTGCCTATTAATAATATCGGATAATTTATTGTAAAATAATTCGAATATCGCAAGAACCTCATGGCAAGCGTCGCAATTAACGATTTTAAAAACGCGAAATTTTTAATAAAAAAGGCGATTTTGTATAAACTTGAGTCACGCCGAAAATTAAGACTCTTACGACAACGTCGCAAAGATACAGTAGACTTAGGCCTACTGTCATTTTTGCGATAGCGATGTCCGCGCGTTCCGTGACTATTACGATGATTACGATGTAATGGAAACCATGCAGGCTTAAGTTTCACATCTTCAGTTTCACCCAGGACATATAATTGTGTTTGATAAATTGGACGATTGGGTAAAATTAATTTTTCCATCCATATTCTTTAGATATCAACATTTCAAACATTTTGATATTGTTCATCATGCTAGCAGTTGTAGAATCTATTACAGGTAATTCTACTATATATACACTGCAAAAACGGATTGGTTAATTAAATTAACCCATTGGTTGTCTCAGATGCATTTTCCTTTGCCCAATATTATTTGGTCAAAACAACGGAAAAATTGGTTAAAATAACGCAATTTGTGGTTGTTTTAACTTTGAAATATTGGTCAAATAAGTGCATCTGAGACTACTAATCAAAATATTTATAGTTTAATTTGGTTTCACTCAGCACTAGTGTGAAACAGATGGTGGTGAAACAGCCTCTTCGTTATAGCTATGTAGTATCTAGAAGAAGTATCTATGTAGTATCTATAGTATCTAGTCTTGTATCTAGAAGAAAATATTAAAATATACTGTAGTTTACTCAAACATGTCAATATATGATTCTTTTGTTTCAGGACCACAAAGAGAAGTGGTTTCAATATACAATGACGAGTTTCTCACCCCGCTATCCAGACCTCAATATTTCATTGAAGTTTATCGCTGTGTTGAAGTTAAAGTGGGCGACTGTTTCTCTGGGATGCATGGGTACCCGGTTCCAAAAACAACGGCTGAAATTGAGATAGTGGTTCCGGATATAACGAACAAAGATCGAGATTCTAGCGATAAAAATAAGTTTTATAAATATGTGGTTTATAATCACACGTCTTGTAAATGTGGGACCTTCAAGTTCAGAAATGGTACACTGCATAAAACCATAACTAATAACGAAGGTTAGTCCAGCTTAAGAGAGTAAATGCCATGAAATTACCTAAAATGATCACGTTTTCTTTCGTTCTTTAGAAAATTTCTTTTATAGTTTTATTGTTATGGTCAGCCCTCTCATAAAATTAACATGTTCATATATAGGTTGATACCATTATAACCAGGGGAGCACGGGAGCACGGGAGCTCTTCCCTCACTATCACTGCAGAGTTAAAACTGATATACTGAATTTTATCAAGTCGGTTAGGTATATTGTTGGCTGATGCGCTTGAAAACTCATGTAAAGCGCGTTTTCTATTGGGCGAAGTTGTTCAAGCGAAATGACTTTGTCTGCATCGCTCTTTCTGTCGTGATGAGCAATGGTGACAAAGGGTAAAGGTCTGTCCGTGGTTTTTCCTGTACATTGAGGGATTTTCTCTGGATTTTCCAGTCTCACCAAAACTGAGTAACCGTTCCTGCTGCACTCGATAGCGACAACCAAGCCGCATTAATCAGCCTTCGACTCAGTGACGTTTCATGCACGTAATTTATGTCTCAACTGCAAGGAAAGGTGATTATTACACTGTAACTTTGATCTATATAAGTTTTTCTTGCAGTGTCAGAAGCTGATTACAAAGCAAAGTATAGGAAAAATCCAGTGAATCTCATACATCGGTGTCACAGTCATGTTTGCAATCCTCAACCAAGATACAGTCTCGTCCATGAGCATGCGAACGTTATCCCGAAATCAAAATATCTGGCGTACCAACAGTGCTTGCCTGGCAGTGTGGCGTTAGAAAAGAACAACTATAACATTTCAATTGAAATGATATTTGGTCGAGAGGGGATTGTCAGCGTTTTAAATGATATTTTATGCCAGGCTTATGATGGAGAAAACGTTGAACAATGCCCAAAGATAGAAGAAGATAGAAACCCCGTGACAACGGTAAGAATGTTTATTATACATGAGTATATTATTGGAGGGGTACCAGAGGGAAGGCGTATTAAAGATAGGGGGAAAATTAGAGAGGGGCCTATTAAAGAGGGGCATACTAGAGAAGGGACGCATAAGAGGGTTCATTAGAGAGAGGGGATTATCATAGAGGATGCTTTTCAGAGAGGACGGATTGATATAGGGTATACGAGGATTTACGTAATAGAGAATTATTAATAATGATTAACAGGAATTCTAATTTTTCTGTTTAGAGGCAAGTAATGAGATTCTAGTTTACGTTGCTTCTGCCAAAGTTATCCTCCAGCTTTTCTACTGTCGTTGGTACTATTTAATAATACTAATTATGGACTTGACCTTGTGGATCGTTTTTGTCAACGTTGCAGCGAAAGAAATAGAAATGAAATTACAGTGCAAAACATAAGTATGTACGAAGACCTAGTTCACACGTCGAATACTTTATGTGCCGAGCCATGGAGCTGAAACAATGAGTTTAGGACGTTAACGTTAGCTTCGGCTCATGATTAGACTTGCTGCAAGCCTCGCTCTTCATTTTTGAGGGCGTGTTATGAGATTATATATAGTTTTTCCTTCCAAGCCATACACTGTCTGATAATTTAGTGAATAGACTGTCTCAAAACTGAATTCGAGAGAGATTTGGAACAAGTCTAGCTCGTGATATGCGCGACGTTTGAGTTGAGCATAAAAGATTTCTGACGAAACAAATTATTATGAGCACATTTTGTGATTGGTTTGCTCAAATACGAGTCGGATAAATGTACGCCATACCTTCTTTAAAAAATGTATTCTCCTCTTTTGTTGTGTTCCATTGTTATTTGTAAATCAATCACAGAACTTCTTCATGTTGATGAATTCAAAATAATAAAATTTTGTAAACATATATTAATGATTGATTAATTAATTGAAATATTTTTTGTAGCACATATAATAGTGCAAAAATACTATAAACTTGTGACCCTCAAGATATGAGGCTAATATATATATATATATATATATATATATATATATATATATATATATATATATATATATATATATATATATATATATATATATATATAGGCGAATGTCAATAAGTATATTGAGTGTCGAATCATATATATATATATATATATATATATATATATGCAACAAGTGTACACCCTCTGCTCGGCAGACAAATCATAGATAATATACAAACAGGTTATAACACTGCCACGACTCCAAGTGAAATTATTTAATAAAAAAATATATATATAGCTTTAAATTTTCGGCAGCATGCCACCGCCTTCGTCAAAAAGTAAATGAATATAGTAAATTACCCTCCTTATATACAACAATATAAGTGATTAAACTAATTAAAGGAGCTTGCATTTTCTTGACTTGCTTATTACCATAGTCAACAACCAATTGGTAACATCTATTTATAGTAAGCCCACCGATGCCCATGTGTATTTAAATGCCAAGTCATCGCATCCTAGATCTCAAATACGTGGTATAGCTAAAGGGGTGGCGTTGAGGTTAAGGCGTATATGTTCTGAGGATAGCGATTTTCATGAAAAAAGCAAAATATACGCCCAATATCTTATTAATTGTGGCCACATGAGTGTTCATGTTAATAGAGTATTTGAGGAAGTGGGTGGGATGACTCGAGCTGAAGCACGTAAAAGCAAACCCAATTATAAAGAGAAGCAGTGTGTTTTTGTCACCAAGTACAACCCCCGAGTGTGTGACATAGCCAGTATCATTCGTAAACATCATGATATCATCGATGCTGATGAGCAGGCCCGTGAGATTTTGCCCAAACGTTCTATCCTAGTGGCCTATAGTAGGGGGGCCAATTTAAAGCAGCTGTTGGCCCCGTCTAATCCTTACCGAGGGGTTGAACCTGTAGGTCGGGGTTGTATTACATGTACAGCCAAGAGATGTGATTGCTGCAAATATTTTCTTACATCGGGCAATTCATTTAGTTCAACCGTGACCGGCAGGTTGTTTAGTATCCGTAAGACCTTGACGTGTACATCTGAGAATGTGGTTTACCTCGCTCAGTGTGTGGCTTGTGGTTTGCAGGGGGTTGGTTCTACTATTAATTTTAAGCCTCGTTTGGCAAACTACAAGTCACATATAAAGCATAAGCGTAGAACATGTGGTGTAGTTAATCACTTTATAGATGTGCACGGGAGCGAGCATGTCAATTTGAAATTTATGTTAATTGATAATAACAACGAGGACTTAAGAAAGTGTGAAAACTTTTGGATAGGTACTTTGCTCACTAATTTGGGGGGTTTGAATACCAGCCATGATTATTCCCAACAATAGGTTTCTTTGTTTATATTGCTTTAATTAGTTTAATCACTTATATTGTTGTATATAAGGAGGGTAATTTACTATATTCATTTACTTTTTGACGAAGGCGGTGGCATGCTGCCGAAAATTTAAAGCTATATATATATTTTTTTATTAAATAATTTCACTTGGAGTCGTGGCAGTGTTATAACCTGTTTGTATATATATATATATATATATATACCTCAAAAAACCACAACAGTCTGTTTCATCCGTATAGGAATCATCAGGTGGTGGGGTAAAACGAAAAACTATATCACGCTCTATCTATATGGTATTGAGCACTGTTTGTGTTTCGTAAACCAAAATCTTAAGATATATATATATATATATATATATATATATATATAAAAAATTATATATATATATATATATATATATATATATATATATATATATATATATATATATATATATATATATAATCGAAATCCTATTTCCTCATTCCTAATCGAACCACCCCCAGAAGTGTTCCACTCGCCTTTAACACATAAGTCATAATATATCCTCAACAAAACGCTCAAATTGAGTAAGTTTGCCTCGCCATTTAAATTTGTCTGTTTCATCAATAACCAACAAGTTCGATTAAGCGAATATATCCACTTTAGAAGCCATCAAGGCTTAAGGTTGCTCATCTCTATATATCCAATATATAATATGTGTTTAATTAACCTGTAATTTTTGGCTTTTAAGTGGCCGAATACATGATCATGAGCATTTAAAAAAATATAGTTTTCTTGGCGTAAATTTTATACAATGTCAAATAACGTTCAGGCTTTCAGTCGCATTTCTATCAAAATTTTGTCAATTGTATTGTATTGTATTTTTATTTCACATCCCTTAAAAGGCTTTTCAGCGAGATTTTACATACTTAATCTAAATTTTTTATACACCATAATAATAGAAACACACACATAACAACACACACACACACACGTGGTCGTACTATACACAAATATATATGCTATTTACATCAAGATTTTTGAAGTGTTTCGTTGTTTCGCAGGCCCTAACTAAGTTCTGGTTTTAAGGAATTCCAAATTGTGGCCATTCTGAATTTGAAAGATCGTTGCCCAGTTGCTGTTCTGTATAAAGGAGTATCAATCATGCTCGAGTTCCTAGTAACGCGAGATGAAATGTCACCTCGTCTCACAAACTGTTCAGTTAGGTATGCGGGTGCGTTTCCTGCCATGCATTTAAATGCCATGACTGCATCACGAAAATATAAATACTGTCCAACTGGAAGCCACTTTAGTTCTTGCAGGATTGGTGTGACATGATCGTATTTGCCAACTCCACTAACTATTCCACAAGCAAAGTTCTGCACTACCTGTACCTTATTTAAATTTGTTTGAGAAGTGTTGCTCCAGACAGTAGAGCAATAATATAATTTTGAAAAAACTAGAGAGTTAATAATAATTGTTAATGTATGTTTGTCAAAGCAATGTTTCACGCGGTTTATTTGACCTAAACGAGACATACATGAGGAGATAGTGGCTTGTACATGGCTGCCGAACGTCAGACCAGGGAATAATAATAATTAATAATAATATTATTATTCATAATGATACTCGTAATTCATAATTCTGGTGTACATCGTGCTTAGTATGAAGTCTTTAGGGCTTGATGCAATTCATTTTTGTATTCTGACTATCGTTAGGCTACGGTTGAAGTTTTGGGCAGATTTTTCGTTTAAATTTCGATTTTTCGTTTGCCGCGAAAATCAGAGCGGGCAGTTGCATTTCACAGCGGCCCGGATGCAAAAAGCCGGCCCGCTCTCAAAGGCTCCTCAGCCAATCAGATTGCTTCATTCTGATTGACAAAAAAAATAGTGAAATATTCATAGATATAATTGTCAACTAGACTTCCATAATGCAGGATTTTGGCCATTTCTGGGACCTAAGCCTCGCTAATCATAGTGTTAGAAGATGCATGGAATCACGAAGGCCCCAAGTCAAATTTTACCCTGGGCCCCCAAATTTCCCTGGGTGCTGTGCAGTGTATGTTGGTTTTGGCATTTTTGAATATCAATTGTTAGTCCAGTCAAATCACTATAAGTACATGGTCCTGATCAAAGTAATCGCAATAGATTTTTTTTCAGTGGTAAAGTGTGTGAAACGTTGTTCTGATTAACATATTAAAAATCCAAAAAAATCCTTTCGGTGGAACATGGTGAAAATTAAGTTTTTCTTACTTCTACCTATAGAAAACCATTGCGGACAAAATGATGAAATTATGAAATTATTTTTTGCAAATATAACATGCATCAATGGAAAGCTTAGAAAAAACTAAATATAGATCATTAAACGGTTACCTTGCTTTTGCCTATCCAGCCGAAGTTATACAAGATTTAAAATGCCATAAATTTGTATTTTGTGCAAATTTTGCGCTATTTTTTCAACTTTGAGCTAGAATAACGACAGACTGACCAGTAAATTGAATATAACGGTTTAATTAACCTTTATATAGTTTTGTTTAAGCTTTCCAATAATGTAGGTTACATTTGCCTAAAAATGATTTCAAACATTCTGTCCACAATGGTTTTCTATAGGTAGAAGTAAGAAAAACTTGATTTTCACCATGTTCCACCGAAGGGATTTTTTTGGATTTTTAGGATGTTAATCGGGACACCTTCCCTCACATTTTACCACTGAGAAAAATTCTATTGCAATTTCTTTGACCTCTGGTCACAGATTGACTGGACTATGTAGCCTATTTGTAGTTACACATTATTATGAGGGTGTGTTAAGAAATTTTCAGGGCATGCTTCTGCTCGGCTAAATTTGCACAAAAATGTGTGTGATAAAAAATTCTTAATATTAGGTATGGGGCGATAGGCGAAAGTTTTAGAATAAGATGCAATAAAACACGAACGGCCCTTCTGAAAAGGTAAAACTATCCTAAATATTAGATATCACTTAGTCTAGTTATAACAGAAAGTTCAATGGTTTCATTGTACAGATGCAATTCTCGAGCAATTTAGTAATAATTGCATATTTTAGAACTGCTCCTGGTCATTTCTAGCTAAATATTAAATAATCTATTGTAAATATTTTAGTCGTGTAAGTCTGTCATATACCGTATTTGTTTCAATTCGATAATTAAAATTCTAATGTTAATTATGGGGTGCCATAATTGGGCAAACCTGGCGTTACATCGTTGTAAGATAGTGAGGAATTTCGATCATTAGAACATTAATTAAAACGGCTTCGTAATTTCTCATTGTACAGATAACATTTGGTGAGTATATTTATCAGAATGCTTTGCCAGTATTTTCTAGTTTAGCCCAAGATTTTGACAAAACATTTTGGTATAGCTCATATGACGTCGTTGTGCTAATGGTAACAACGACATAAAATCTAATTTATCATTTATCGTTTTAGACGAAAAAGACTTTGACAATGCCTTCTGGAAAAAAATACTTGATGTGGTGGATGAATCTTTGTTTGATCCATTTCTTGAAGGTCCAGGCCCAGTGCATTGGAAATGGTTTAATGAATAGCTGTGCTTGTAATTTTATCAATGCTTGCACATATGATGCATCTACAAAGAAATTTGTTGCCTTTAGTGGTTCAGCAAGTGATCTGAAAAAGTTCGTCCCAAACGTGAGATCTTTTGCTCTCTCGCCTTCACAGATTGCCGAAATTTGTGAACCTGGCCCTATTGGTATTATATATGACTGTAAAAATCGCATCCCTCTTGCTGCTACGATAGTTTTGACAGCTGATCAGTATGAAAAACGATCTTATGTGAGACCAACACAGTCCTTCATGGAAAGCGTGCGAATTGGACACGATTTTCAACAAAATGATATAGACTATACAACGCCTTTGGAGCACGTGCCATGCTACGAATCAATGAACAAGCACCATTACATTGAACAAAACTGGTATAACGCATTATATCTACCAAACTTGGCATATCCTCAGTCGCAATGTCCAAGCAACCTGAAAAAATCCGCTATTCACAGAGGTCACTTGATTGCTGCAAGCTACGGTCGCGGAACACCGGACAGAACTATTCATACGTTCATATATACGAATGCAGTTCCACAATTTGGAAAGAAAAATTCCGGAGCCTGGAGAGCTTTCGAACGTAAACTTATAGAATGGGCGAGACAAAACTGTAAAGAGGCTCCTTTGCATGTCATTGTCGGTTCCATACCTTCAACATATGGGACAAACGATAGAAGGTTTTTTGGTGAGGCAGGTTTTAGTGAGTTTATGGGACCATCAAACCTATTTCCTAGAAAAGCAGGCTATAGGGTTAATGTGCCGGCGTACATGTGGACAGCGGCATGTTGTCATTCTGCCTCACCACCATCGTTCACCGTCAGCACTGGGTTTTTTGCTCCGAACAAGCCTGGTCGCAGGTTGGTCAATAGTGTTGAATTGAGTAGATTGTTTTCATCTGTTAGAGCCATAGGGGTAGATCTTTTCCCAAAAATGCCAAGTTGTAATGAGGACGGAAATTACGTACCCCTTTAACAATGAGAATTTTCGTTCGAAATCTTGAAAGCTAGAGATGTAATTTACATCCTTCATCGAACTTATAATTGAAATATAATTTTAATTAAACTGGCTGCGAAATTGCAATTGAGACCTCTGATGATTTTCAAAATTCATTTATTCAGTCATTTCCGATCTAATGAATCGATCATTTACTATAATAATTTTAAATATAAATATTAATAATAACTTATATACTGACTGAGAGATTTCTTCTTTAAACATATATATATATATATATATATATATATATATATATATATATATATATATATATACTGAAGACTATATTCAAAAAAATAGTCGATGAGTTGACGTAAGGTAGAAGAGCGCTCAATACCATAATAAGTAGAGCGGAATTAATTCAGTCAAGGTTTGAATGTTTGCGTCGCTACTCTGAGTTTCCCGCTTTACGCGATCATCAGGCAACTGACAGATATTATTCAATATTCATAATAAATATAGGTTATCATTTTACAACTTGATTAAGCAGGTATCTGGTTACATGTCTACATTTGGAAAACAAGTCAGAGCGTTTGTTCAGGCATTCTGTTTTCTTCGCTTTCATAATAAGTAGTTTCTCCTCGAGGCATAAATTACACCGTTTAGATCCTGGTTTGTATGCTTTGACTTTCTTCAGTTTCCAGACGTACTTGGACAGTTCGGTGTTGCTCTTGTATTCCTCATGTCGGAAAGATTTAGTGTGATTGCGGTATCTTGTTTTGAAATCGCCCGCCGTCATGCCAATGTATATTTTCTTTTCCTGGTTGTTGGCAGTGCTGGTTGTTACTTCGGCTTTGTATACGATGCTCTCAGTAAGACATTTTTTACCAAGTGGACAGTTGGCGGGTTTTTGGCAGTTGCACATTGGCGCGTCGTTTTTTGTAGGTGTTGGTATTACCGTTGGTATGGATGATTGTATTACCCTAGCAGTTGGCGTTCGTTTTGTGTTTCGGTTGAGTATTTTAAACATAAACATAAACATAAACATAAACAGATTATCAAACCATCCACCTTCCATCACACGACAACTTCCACACTCAGTCAACAAACGCATTAACAAACTATCATGTGACGAAGAAGCATTCAACGCAGCAGCACCACTTTACAACAACGCTCTCAAGCAAAGCAACTTTGACGTTAACCTAACGTACACACAAACTCAAAACAACACTAATAACTCCGATAAACGAAACAGACAACGAAATATTACATGGTACAACCCACCTTATAGCAAGAACGTTAAGACCAATGTAGCACAGACATTCCTAAACCTAATTGACAAGCATTTTCCTCCCTCAAACAAACTGCACAAACTTTTCAACCGCCACACAGTCCGTGTTAGTTACAGTTGCATGACAAACATGAAAAATCTCATCCGTAAAAATAATCGTAAAATACTCAACCGAAACACAAAACGAACGCCAACTGCTAGGGTAATACAATCATCCATACCAACGGTAATACCAACACCTACAAAAAACGACGCGCCAATGTGCAACTGCCAAAAACCCGCCAACTGTCCACTTGGTAAAAAATGTCTTACTGAGAGCATCGTATACAAAGCCGAAGTAACAACCAGCACTGCCAACAACCAGGAAAAGAAAATATACATTGGCATGACGGCGGGCGATTTCAAAACAAGATACCGCAATCACACTAAATCTTTCCGACATGAGGAATACAAGAGCAACACCGAACTGTCCAAGTACGTCTGGAAACTGAAGTCAGAAAAAAGTCAGTATACAATAAAGTGGTCCATTATAAAGAAAGTCAAAGCATACAAACCAGGATCTAAACGGTGTAATTTATGCCTCGAGGAGAAACTACTTATTATGAAAGCGAAGAAAACAGAATGCCTGAACAAACGCTCTGACTTGTTTTCCAAATGTAGACATGTAACCAGATACCTGCTTAATCAAGTTGTAAAATGATAACCTATATTTATTATGAATATTGAATAATATCTGTCAGTTGCCTGATGATCGCGTAAAGCGTGAAACTCAGAGTAGAGACGCAAACATTCAAACCTTGACTGAATTATATATATATATATATATATATATATATATATATATATATATATATATATATATATATATATATATATATGTAACAAACAGAACGGCTACGTTTGAAGAAGTTTATTAAAAAAAGGTATATTCGACAATATCGGCATATGAGCAGGAATTCTTAGGTCCCATAGCAGTACCATTTTCCTGCAGCCAATATTGCCCTCGATACATGGAATGGGTTTGTCTGCTATGGGTTTGGCTGCTAAGTGGATTAAGTGCATTACTAACACTAATAACACACATCCAGGTATTAATTACCCTTTGATTAAAACTTACAAAGTTGACAATCCCGCACGGGTCATTACCTCGGGATGTAGTACGCCCACAGAGAATTTATCTTTGTTCGTTGAAAAATATTGTAAAATAGCTTTAGATTCTATTTCTTGTCGCGTCCGAGATACCACACATATGCTAGATATTGTGGATGAGCTTAATTTAACGGGGCTATCGGATGAGGATCTCTTAGTTAGTTTTGATATCACCAATATGTTCCCATCTATAGACAATCAGACGGGAATAGAGCGAGTACGTTGTAAACTTTTGCAATATGCTGAGGTTTTCGATGTGCCTATAGAGTGTGTCATTGAAGCTTTGGAAATCTGCTTGAAGAAAAACTGTTCCATGTATCGAGGGCAATATTGGCTGCAGGAAAATGGTACTGCTATGGGACCTAAGAATTCCTGCTCATATGCCGATATTGTCGCAGAAGAGATAGATAAAAAAGTTCTAGAATCTCGTTCTATTTATCCTGAACTGAGATGTTGGTTTAGATTTCGAGATGATACGATTGTGTTATGGCGGGGTACCATGGAACGGCTTCAAGCGTTTTTTCAGGATCTCAACACATTCGATCCGCATCTACAGTTTACTATGGATGTGGGTGGGCGTAGTTTGCATTTTCTCGATCTTTTGATTTCCATAGTTAATAATCGTATGGAAACTACAGTTTATAGTAAGCCCACGGACGCACACTTGTATCTCAATGCCAATTCGTCGCACCCAAAATCTCAAATTTTGGGTATTGCCAAAGGAGTGGCATTGAGATTGCGTCGCATATGCTCTAGGGACGCTGATTTTTGAGAAAAAAGTAGGATTTATAGGAAATATCTTACGGATTGCGGCCACGACAGTGCACATGTCAATAGAGCCTTTGAGGTAGTTGGTGCTATGACTCGTGATGAAGCGCGTACCAGTAGACGTAAAGTTCGTCGTAATTCCTGTGTTTTTGTTACCAAGTTTAATCCTAGTGCTCCTGATATTCAAAAAAAATTTTCGTAAACATCGCTCTGTTTTAGATAGTGATGAACAGGCCAAAAAAATTCTACCGGAGGGTGCCATTCTTGTTTCGTATAAGCGTAATGCCAATTTGAAGAAGTTATTAGCACCATCTAACCCATATAAGCCTAATAAACTGGAAGGTGAAGGCTGCTACAAATGTGATGCCAAGCGCTGTGATAGTTGTAAGAACTTTTTGATTTTTGGCAATTCCTTTCGTGCAGCTGCCACTGGAAGGATATTTCTCATTTTAAAACCTTTGACGTGCACTTCCAGTAATGTAGTGTATCTTGCTGAGTGTGTGCTTTGTGGTTTGCAAGGTGTTGGCTCTACTGCCAATTTTAAGTCCAGACTAGCTAACTACGAATCACACATTAAGCATAAGCGCCGGACATGCAGTATAACAAATCATTTTATTGATGTGCATGAGGCGGATCATTCGAGCTTAAAATTTATGCTTATTGACCAACACCATAGTGAAGTACTTAAGAGTGAAAACTTTTGGATAGGAATGTTGTTGACCAACCGGAAAGGCCTTAATGGTAGTCATGATTTCGCCCAACAATAGTAATTTATTCATAATTTATTGTATATAAGTATGTTCTGTGTAAAGCTATAGGCACTCTGAAGAAGGCTGTGGCATGCAGCCGAAAATTTAGTTTTTGTGGCTAGCTCGTTTAGCCACTATCACATAAGCAAACGCGATGAGCGATGATGATGGTGTCCAGTCCGGATTTTCGTAAAGTATCGGGAGCAATCGGAAGCGCCCGTATTTTTCTACCGACATTTCACATTTGCATTTCGAGGCAATACTAGTGATGTTGTTACGACGCAGTTGTTAAACCAGAAAATTAAAATAAAGTTTATCTTCATGGCTTCAACCTATGGTGTCGAAACCGATCAGAAATTGCGCCTACTCGCCGTGTAAATATGGGTTTTAATTTGCACTTTTGACTGATTTGCCATCTTGAATTGTCTTCTTGTTGAGATTTCATATCTCAATTGCATTCGAAATGTTTGGTATTTTAAAGAAGGGGTATTGTGTGGAGGAGGTTTATAATGCAGCAAATAAAACCAGCATTGGATAATTATGGTAAAAGACCAGAAACTGTGCATCGAACTCGTTTATTTAAAGGCTTAAAGTATACCTTTTCTTCAGACATTGACGGCGTCTCAAATGTCTACATATTTGTAATAAACCTATAAAGGATTATTGCGTCTGTCTGTCTTAGGAGTCATATAGTCGAATAATTCAGCATGATTTGTCTCACGTTCTCTTATAAGTTGACTAATATTGCATAAAAGTGGTAAAAGTTGGTGTGCTAACCAAGATTTCAGTGTATTTGTTTGCTAATATTGCTACAATCTTGGCCAAAAGTTCGTAGAACGACAAAACAAATTCGCAACTTTTTAATGTACTTGGGTTTTAAAATCATTTTGCACCTCCCCGCCGCTCCCCCCATTCAATGTTGCTCTCCCACATTTCTAGTACACGTACAATTTTGTTGTAGAGTAGGTCAGATCATAAATATACACGAAACGGCAACATTGAATGGGGGAAGGGGGGCGCGAGGCCTTAAAAATGCATAAAAATTTATCGTCGTCCTACGGTTTATGGCCAAGATTGTCCGAAAATTATGTTTTTAATCCTTTACATATATATGTATTAAATTTAGAACACCAGTGGTAGAAATATTCAAAAATGTAGTTATGTTCTTGCACTACTGGATAACACTTCAAAAGTCGTTCTGATATTCCTAAATATTGAATG